TCTGTGATGGTTCACTAATCCAGGCGTTGAGAAGTACGACCAAGAGAACACAGAACACGAATGAATGAATAACCAACTCCTCATTAACAGTTATAAGTAAAAGATGTATTGATCACTATAATAAGATTGTAATGTCTCCTTTCTAACTGTTAACACTTCGCTATCTATCCCTAAGTCTATCTCTGACTACGGCTAGTAATACTACGTCTGTTACAACAGAACGACCGTCCACGAATCTCTCCCTCTGCTTATGCCACGAAGAGTTCTATGTTATATACCATTCTCTACCTCCCTAGGTGGTCCAGGAATGCTCGCAATTAACCCATCTATACACCCCTCATTTCCGGTCAATTCGGAACTTCCGTCGTCAACCCCGAAGTTGTCACACGAAGTCTGGGAAATCCGGGACATAATGTTTTGGAAAGAAGCATCCCCTTAATCTAAAAGATACGAGAATGTATTAGCCTTACCCCATGCGCCCAATAGTTCCCTCCCTAAAATCACAGCAATTTCCGTTCATCCCATAACTTATCTGAAGAACAATGGAGCTCTGTTTTTAACCCCCGACCCTGTCATTTGTGACAGGGTGCAAGGTGATACATAGCATGGGTGCAATGTGATACATAGCATGGGTGCAAGGTGATACATAGCATGGGTGCAAGGTGATACATAGCATGGGTGCAAGGTGATACTTAGCATCGGTGCAAGGTGATACATAGCATGGGTGCAAGGTGATACATTGTATGGGTGCAAGGTGATTCATAGCAACCGTGCAAGGTGATAAATAGCATGGGTGCAAAGTGATACATAGCATTGGTTCAAGGTGATACATAGCATGGGTGCAAGGTGATACATAGCATGGGTGCAAAGTGATACATAGCAAGGGTTCAAGGAGATACACAGCATGGGTGCAATGTGATACATACAATGGGTGCAAGGTGATACATAGCATGGGTGCAAGGTGATACATAGCATGGGTGCAAGGTTATACATAGCATTGGTTAAAGGTGATAGATAGCATGGGTGCAAAGTGATACATAGCATGGGTGCAAGGTGATACACAGCATGGGTGCAAGGTGATACATAGCATGGATGCAAGGTGATACATAGCATCGGTGCAAGGTGACACTTAGCATAGTTGCAAGGTGATACATAGCATGGGTCAAGGTGATACATATCATGGGTCAAGGTGACACATAGCATGGGTCAAAGTGACACATAGCATGGATGCAAGGTGATACATAGCATGGGTGCAAGGTGATACACAGCATGGGTGCAAGGTGATACATAGCATAATTGCAAGGTGATACATAGCATGGGTCAAGGTGATACATAGCATGGGTCAAGGTGACACATAGCATGGATACAAGGTGACACATAGCATGGATGCAAGGTGATACATAGCATGGGTGCAAGGTGATACACTGCATGGGTGCAAGGTGATACATAGCATGGATGCAAGGTGATACATAGCATCGGTGCAAGGTGATACATAGCATAAATGCAAGGTGACACATAGCATGGGTCAAGGTGACACATAGCATGGGTCAAGGTGATACATAGCATGGATGCAAGGTGATACATAGCATCTGTGCAAGGTGATACATAGCATAGTTGCAAGGTGACACATAGCACGGGTCAAGGTGACACATAGCATGGGTCAAGGTGACACATAGCATGGGTCAAGGTGACACATAGCATGGGTGCAAGGTGATACATAGCATCGGTGCAAGGTGATACATAGCATAGTTGCAAGGTGACACATAGCACGGGTCAAGATGACACATAGCATGGGTCAAGGTGGCACATAGCATGGATGCAAGGTGATACATAGCATGTGTCAAGGTGACACATAGCATGGGTCAAGGTTACACATAGCATGTGTCAAGGTGATACATAGCATGGGTGCAAGGTGATAAATAGCATAGTTGCAAGGTGACACATATCATGGGTCAAGGTGACACATAGCATGTGTCAGGGTGATACATTGCATGGGTCAAGGTGACACATAGCATGTGTCAATGTGATACATAGCATGGGTGCAAGGTGATACATAGCATAGTTGCAAGGTGACACATAGCATGGGTCAAGGTTACACATAGCATGTGTCAAGGTGATACATAGCATGGGTCAAGGTGACACATAGCATGTGTCAAGGTGATACATAGCATGGGTGCAAGGTCACACATAGCATGGATGCAAGGTGATACATAGCATGGGTCAAGGTGACACATAGCATGGATGCAAGGTGACACATAGCATGGGTCAAGGTGACACATAGCATGGGTCAAGGTGACACATAGCATGGGTCAAGGTGACACATAGCATGGGTCAAGGTGACACATAGCATGGGTCAAGGTGACACATAGCATGGGTCAAGGTGACACATAGCATGGGTCAAGGTGACACATAGCATGGGTCAAGGTGACACATAGCATGGGTCAAGGTGACACATAGCATGGGTCAAGGTGACACATAGCATGGGTCAAGGTGACACATAGCATGGGTCAAGGTGACACATAGCATGGGTCAAGGTGACACATAGCATGGGTCAAGGTGACACATAGCATGGGTCAAGGTGACACATAGCATGGGTCAAGGTGATACATAGCATGGGTCAAGGTGACACATAGCATGGGTGCAAGGTGACACATAGCATGGATGCAAGGTGACACATAGCATGGGTCAAGTTGACACATAGCATGGGTCAAGGTGACACATAGCATGGGTCAAGGTGATACATAGCATGGGTGCAAGGTGATACATAGCATGGGTGCAAGGTGATACTTAGCATAGTTGCAAGGTGACACATAGCGTGGGTCAAGGTTACACATAGCATGGGTCAAGGTGACACATAGCATGGGTGCAAGGTGATACATAGCATGGGTGCAAGGTGATACATAGCATAGTTGCAAGGTGACACATAGCATGGGTCAAGGTGATACATAGCATGGGTCAAGGTGACACATAGCATGGATGCAAGGTGACACATAGCATTGATGCAAGGTGATACATAGCATGGGTGCAAGGTGATACACTGCATGGGTGCAAGGTGATACATAGCATGGATGCAAGGTGATACATAGCATCGGTGCAAGGTGATACATAGCATAGTTGCAAGGTGACACATAGCATGGGTCAAGGTGACACATAGCATGGGTCAAGGTGATACATAGCATGGATGCAAGGTGATACATAGCATCTGTGCAAGGTGATACATAGCATAGTTGCAAGGTGACACATAGCATGGGTCAAGGTTACACATAGCATGTGTCAAGGTGATACATAGCATGGGTCAAGGTGACACATAGCATGTTTCAAGGTGATACATAGCATGGGTGCAAGGTGACACATAGCATGGATGCAAGGTGATACATAGCATGGGTCAAGGTGACACATAGCATGGGTGCAAGGTGACACATAGCATGGATGCAAGGTGACACATAGCATGGGTCAAGTTGACACATAGCATGGGTCAAGGTGACACATAGCATGGGTCAAGGTGACACATAGCATGGGTCAAGGTGATACATAGCATGGGTGCAAGGTGATACATAGCATAGTTGCAAGGTGACACATAGCGTGGGTCAAGGTTACACATAGCATGTGTCAAGGTGATACATAGCATGGGTCAAGGTGACACATAGCATGGGTGCAAGGTGATACATAGCATGGGTGCAAGGTGATACATAGCATAGTTGCAAGGTGACACATAGCATGGGTCAAGGTTACACATAGCATGTGTCAAGGTGATACATAGCATGGGTCAAGGTGACACATAGCATGTTTCAAGGTGATACATAGCATGGGTGCAAGGTGACACATAGCATGGATGCAAGGTGATACATAGCATGGGTCAAGGTGACACATAGCATGGGTGCAAGGTGACACATATCATGGATGCAAGGTGACACATAGCATGGGTGCAAGGTTAGCCTGTCCAAAGCTTCGCTGCGGAAAACGAGTTTGAGGAAAATGGAAGATTTTTTTTTTCCTTAAATTTTGATGAAGTACTTTGTTGCATATTGTCACTTGCGAAGACATTCGTGACATTTTCTTTACCCTTCTCTGCAGCTTTAAGGCTCAGTGATTTCCTGTTTGAAATGAACTTCTTTTTACCGTAGGCCTAACGATCGCCCGGGGACAGCAGTTAAATTCGGAGATGGGTGACACTGAATACATTTTTAAGATGTGTTAAATGACGGGCAACTTGTTTTATTATCACGTATATACATACTTGGATTGTCCGAGAAGTAGAGGGTCATACAAATTGAACAAGAGAGTACTAACATATCTATACCTAGCACTTTGGGTTACACTTTAAAATTATTTGTAGACTACACTTTAAAATCAACACAGTGAAGATTGTCCATTTTTTTTTTAAACGAAAAAGCAAAAAAAAAAAAAAAAAAAAAAAAAGGGGGTCGGATCGAAATTTTTATTTATACACTGTATTCGGGTGAGAAAAAAAATTTCAAAATATTTTCTGATAACTTGCGTTGTAATTTTGCAACAAGGCTGGTCTGAGCTTTGAGTATAGGCTATCTTAGGGCCCTTTAGAGTCTAGATTCAGCACTGCAAGTCTTACAGAAAAACTTGCTTGAAAATACAAATCTTCCCTTGTCGTTTTCAAACTGCTTCCGAAACCATCAGCCACTGTGCACAGCCAGATAAACTTGCAGGCATTGGATCGACATTTGACTCAAGTTTAGCGAAATGTTATGTTTTTACTAAATAATTGTTTTGATAATGTGTGTATATATATATAAATATATATATATATATTTCTAAAAAACTATTTTGTATTCCTTACCGTTGTTCCATAAGTCATCATTGTTCCTATGTATCACACATCTTTCACTCAAAACAAAAATATGGAGTGAAATAAAACAAAAACGTGGGGTGAAATATAACATAAATTTGGGGTGAAATGAAACAGAAATATGGGGTGAAATATAACAAAACATATGGGGTTAAATATAACGACAACAAACATATCATTATGTTTAAACACATTTTTATTTTCGTGATGGTTCTTTCAGTGCTTAGATCCAACTTTTTTTTTTTTATATATGTTTCTATTTATTTCATAAATCTATCCCATCTACAGGGCCCAATCATGTTCACAGGAACAAACTCGGTAAACGAAATTCTTTAAATGGACCAAGAAAGCCTGGATGCACAGAAAGACTATAAAACCACATTTATAGAGAGATTATTTCCCTTACATTGACTGGAAAAGCTTATTATGTAGGGGCGTATAATTCTAAAAAAAAAAAAAAATTATAATAATAAAATTAATTTTAAAAAAAAAAATGTACATTCTCAAGCTAATAGTTGTAGCCAAGGGGACCGCACTCCATATCCACCACAATCCGTTTACACGTGGGACATCTCTCGGGCTGCTGGGATTGGTCGTTGAGGTTCGCCCTCTTCCCCCTCAAGTCCGTGTTGGCATCGACCGGGGGACACAGATCTCTGCGGGGGGTGGGCCATTCAAAGCATCTTGTCGTTAACCTGCAAGACAGGGGGCCAGAATGAGGCTGACGTAGTGTTGCGACAGGGGGGGGGTTGCTAAATGTCAACACGAACGTGGCATTAACGTATTACTATGACAGGGGCCCATACTCTACCAGTGGTTGTCAGGACGCTTCCAAGAAGATGCGTCTACACAAGTGAAGGGCAACTTTGCTAACGCTGATTTTTTTAACAGAAACCCAACCCTGAAGCTGAGTGACCCCAACCCTGATGCTTAGTGAATCCAACCATTTTTCCTGAGCGCTACAATAAATAACAGATTTTTTTTAAAAAGTTGTTTTTTTTTTTCTTGTGTGTTTTGTTCTTTGGTGTATTTCCGGGTTGTAGCGGTGGAGGAAAAAAAAAAGGGGGGGGGGGTGCTGGGGTTTCCTAATTCGTCCTGGTAATGAGCTCGATTATGAGCTCCAGGCTTTTGTGAACGCGTTTCGGGCTTAATGCCATGCTTTGAAGTTCATGTCATGTGTTATGAGTCAATGACATGTTTTGGGGCTTAATATAATGACATTAATATTATGTCATGTTTTGGAGTTAATTTTATGTTTTATGAGTTAATGTCATTTTGGGGGATTGACAGCATGCCATTGGCATACTCTTGGTAGCCGTTGCATGAGGTGTGCTACACTCCCATCCCAACCCCCTTTGAACGCACACACACACATTCACTATCCAAGGAATGTGACATTTCCACTCTATATCTAAATGGGTAACTGCTTGAGAACCACTGGACCTGGACATGCTTGTTATTTTTTTAAGTGAATATATAATTTGACCGGGAAGGAACAACCCTTAGCGGAGGTCAAGGTTATGATGTGACCTCAGCTAACCTCGGATCACGTGCCTGAATAGGATGATATAGATCAATCCTGTCGGCGTTTGAAGACACTGGAAAAACACATTTCTGCTTCCGCGCGCGTGCTTGCCTGTTACATCCGGGGTTCTGCGGGCAAGGATTTGGGCACTCTGGCGGGCATGGGGCACAGCAGTAGGATTTCTTGCAGGACTCCTCAGATGGACAAGGTCCTACATCGTCGACGCCATATCGATACTTGGAGTTGCAGCGTTCGGGATCTCCTTGACAACGTCCTTGACCTGAATAAAGAAAGTTCGGCTTTGAGATTGATCACATTTTAACCATTTTAAAGAGTAAAAAATGACTTAACTTATTTAACAGAGACGACGAAGTGTAAAAAGCCTCCTTGGGGCAATAGGCCAAAAGTCTCATTGGGGCAACAGTCCGGAGCCTCCTTGGGGCAATAGGCCAAAGTCTCATTGGGGCAACAGTCCAGAGCCTCCTTGGGGCAATAGGCCAAAAGTCTCATTGGGGCAACAGTCCGGAGCCTCCTTGGGGCAATAGGCCAAAGTCTCATTGGGGCAACAGTCCAGAGCCTCCTTGGGGCAATAGGCCAAAGTCTCATTGGGGCAACAGTCCAGAGCCTCCTTGGGGCAATAGGCCAAAGTCTCATTGGGGCAACAGTCCAGAGCCTCCTTGGGGCAATAGGCCAAAGTCTCATTGGGGCAACAGTCCAGAGCCTCCTTGGGGCAATAGGCCAAAGTCTCATTGGGGCAACAGTCCGGAGCCTCCTTGGGGCAACAGGCCAAAGTCTCATTGGGGCAACAGTCCAGAGCCTCCTTGGGGCAATAGACCAAAGTCTCCTTAGAGCAACAGGCCGAATCCTCCTTCGGGGCAAGAGCCTCCTTGAAGGGAGAGCACTGTATTGTTGCAACAATTATCACACTTAGGAAAAACATAAGTAGCACTTAATTAGCACATTGCGATCAATTTATCTCCCCTGTCTTTGCAATGTGCTTTATGTGCTCAGTTGGGTCATTGCTTTAAATGGCCGTTTTTTTTGTAAAGGTTAATGACAAAAATGTGACCGTTATCCTTACCGGCACAACGAGGCTGGCCTAGATTCCTACGCCATGGTTCGGACACTGGCCAGCTGACATCCTGCCTCGGTGGCGCTCTCGATAGCGTAGCCTTTTCTAGGACAGTCAGTGGTCTTTGCTGGGGGATCACAATGTTTTCATCGACACAAGGTTGGTATGCAAAAATTGTTATTGAAATATAATAATACGATTACCGTCATGAAACAGGTGGCTGATGCTTAAATTGGAAAATGGGTGGATATGGTGGATGTGTTAGACAGGTGTTCAACATTTCGAAGCTTCATGGCCATTTGTTTCGTTGTTGAGAATTGTTGAATGTCATTGAAGTGACCCTTATCAAAAGTTAACTTTATTTTTTTTTACTTTTGTTGGCTTTATTTTAAGCTGTCGTAGATTAAGGGGCAATGGTATTTGTCGATTTCGACTGACGTTATTGGTCGCAATCAACAAAGACCTCCTTAATCATCGTGTATGGTCGTTGTGAACATGGCCATGGGTGCACTGGTGGTCTATTATAGGTCACCACTAGCAGATAGTTGGCTGTGGGTTCACTGATGGTCTATATAGGGCACCATTAATGGATAGTTGGTTGTGGGTGCACTGTTGGTCTATATAGGGCACCATTAATGGATAGCTGGCTGTGGGTGCACTGATGGTCTATATAGGGCACCATTAATGGATAGCTGGCTGTGGGTGCAATGATGATCTATATAGGGCACCATTAATGGATAGCTGGCTGTGGGTGCACTGATGGTCTATATAGGGCACCATTAATGGATAGCTGGCTGTGGGTGCACTGATGGTCTATATAGGCCACCATTAATGGATAGCTGGCTGTGGGTGCACTGATGGTCTATTATAAGTCACCACTAGTAGATAGTTGGCTGTGGGTGCACTGCTGGTCTATATAGGGCACCATTATTGGATTGCTGTCTGTGGGTGCACTGATGGTCTATATAGGGCACCATTAATGGATAGTTGGCTGTGGGTGCACTGATGTTATATACAAGGCATCACTAACAGATACTTGGTTGTGGGTTTGCTGATGTTATATACAGGGCACAACTAACAGATACTTGGTTGTGGGTGCACTGCTGGTCTATAGGGCACCATTAACAGATACTTGGCCGTTGGTGCACTGATGGTCTATAATGGGCGCTAATAACCGATTATTTAATTTAATTGGTGGGATCGAAAATGTTTTGTTTGAAACCAAACACTGACATCACAACACAGGCCCTAAGTTAGGTTTCTCAAAGTGCCAGAAAAGAGGAAGACAAAGAGCCATGTGAAAGAGGGGATTGAAGCCAGAGGTGAAGAAAATGAAGAAAAGTTAGGCAGAACTAGCAAAGATAGCCTAGGACAGGGACATATGGAAAAGTATAGTCGATTTCCTATGCTCCATTGGGGTCAACAAGCAAAGATAGCCCAGGACAAGGACAGATGGAAAAGTTTAGTGGATGTCCTATGCTCCATTGGGGTGAACAAGCAAAGATAGCACAGGACAGGGACAGATGGAAAAGTATAGTGGATGCCCTTACTCCATTGAGGTGAACAAGCAAAGATAGTCCAGGACAGAGACAGATGGAAAAGTATAGTCGATGCCCTATGCTCCATTGGGGTGAACAAGCAAAGATATATTATAGCCCATGACAGGGACAGATTGAAAAGTATAGTGGATGCCCTAGGCTCCATTGGGATGAACAAGCAAAGATAGCCCAGGGGCAGATGGAAAAGTGATACTACGGATGTCCTATGCTCCTGTGGGCTGAACTAGCAAAGATAGCGCAGGACAGGGACAGATGAGAACGTGCATGTATTGTGGATGGGTTATGCTCTATTTGGAGTGAGAAAGTCTAAAACCTTGTAGTATTGTAGAATGACTTCCTTTATCGATATACCATCATAAGGTATACGGTATAAGTCAAGAAATCTTCTCAGTTGATTAAAATGACATGGTTTTATAAGCTTTACTTTAAAAGATTCTGGACTAAATTACGATTGTTGTCGTTTCAAACTTGACCCCCCCCCCCTTTTGCGCCCCACAAACCTGGTTGATGATTGGCCAGCACATGCTGGCCAGCTAGAATGACTTCCTTTATCGATATACCATCATAAGGTATACGGTATAAGTCAAGAAATCTTCTAAGTTGATTAAAATGACATGGTTTTATAAGCTTTACTTTAAAAGATTCTGGACTAAATTACGATTGTTGTCGTTTCAAACTTGACCCCCCCCCCCCTTTTGCGCCCCACAAACCTGGTTGATGATGGGCCAGCACATGCTGGCCAGCGAGTCAGATGGTTTTGGCACGTCTCGATGGACATGGCAGTGTTCAAACGCCTGATGCATTGCGGCTGTGTCACGTTACTGCCTGGCACTGGGAAATCTGGAAATAAACCAAGGGAGATCAAAACAAACAAAGATTTCTTGTCTTTTAAAAAAAAAATATTTTTTTAAGTAGTTTTTAAAAAATTTACTAACTGGAATTTCAACGATCGGACTTTGAACGCATAAAATTATCCACGACCCGAACCCACCCCTTTTCCCCCATCTCTTTCCCCCACCCCTTTCCCCCACCCCTTTCCCCCACCCCTTTCCCCCACCCCCTTTCCCCCACTCCCAAGCCCTCCCTATCCCTAAATTTGAAACCTGCCCCTTCCCCCTCCCTCTTTACATATGCAGAGATTGCAGGGCCCATGCGATGGCCCTGGCTCTGAAATATATCATTTTCTGACGTCTTCGCTGAGGGGCAAACAACCATGGGAGGTGCTGTTGCTACACGCCAAGACTAACTGCAAGGCAAGGTGTTCATTGCAGCACAGCGCCCGCCCTTGCCATTTATTCAACTCGTTTCCCTCTCTAATCTGGGTGAACATCTGCCGTCATCCTGCACACTCGGATGTAGATTCTGAACCAAGTATCTTGTCAGATCCTTTCCAATAACTTCACCTTTTTTTTTGTACGTGGCTGCAAAATCTGCGGACGGTTAATTGACCCACTTCCAGTCAACCTATCAAGCTGAAACGTGGCACGTAGACTCGTTGCCGGGGATAACACATTCTTTCAAATTTTCAGACCCACCCATCAACCTCCAAAAAATCACCCCCCCCCCCTTTTTTTCCCCTGTTTTCCAAGGGGAAGATAAAGTAAATATGACGCCTCTGATTTCACGAAACAAAATTCCCGATAACTGCGCCCAATGAGATTCTTTTTTTTTTTTTTTAATCGTATGTCCCAAATATTTTCTTTCTTTCTTTTTTTTTTTCTGAAACAGTTAATAAAATAAATTGCGGTGTACAAGCGGATGGGACTTAAAGAATGTTATTTAAAGTTCAATTGCGTTTAAAAAAAAATGTGTGCTTGCCAGCTTTGGTTATGTGTGGGGGGGGGGGTGGGGGGCGGGGGTAAGAGAGAGAGAGAGAGAGCACTAATTTGCAATCTTATAAAGTACGTTACTTGAATGGATGTTTTGTCAACTTTTCAGCCCCACCCCCTATTGCTTTATTAAATTTTATGTATCTATCTATCGATCCGAATTAGCCAATTTGGTACAGGTTTTATACGAAAAACTTTGCTATTAGTGTTTTTTGCAAATCTTAATCTTTCAGAAGTCTATCTCGTTCTGGTGTTAAAGCTTAACACCGCAACGCTGTATTAATAATAATAATAATAATAAGACGTCTTATATAGCGCGGTACGACAGCCTAGGGCTGGGCTCAACGCGCTGTACATAAAAATTTTTATCAAAAGAGACATAGATCTAATCATGACATTAAAATAAAATACATTTATGAAATAAAGAACAGCGATGTATATTGACCCACCCCACCACATAACTTTTACAGGGCAAACCATGGACGGCAGCCAGCAAGATCGTTTATCGTATTACGACTTTGAGCAATGTCATCACCATGTGTCTTTATAATATTATACAAACATATTAAATATGTTTTGTTGATGTGAATAATAATTCATAATAGTATTTTAACATCTGTTGAAAGTGAAGGAAACAGGGCGGCCCTAACAGTTTCGGGGCCCTATGCGAAACGGATTGCGCGGGGCCCAGTCTGGGTTAGGGATAAGGATAATAAGTGAACATTAAGATTTTGCATTAGAAAAAAAAATGTGGGGCTCACTGCGACCGCATAGGTTGCAGTGGCCTAAGCCCGGCCCTGTATGGAAATATAGACATATATATTTTTTGTAAAAAGTATGTGTATTACCGTGGCGTCGTGGGATGAAAATGGCGCCGCTTCCGCTTTACATTGTCTCGTTCTCATGATGACGACACAAATTAAAACAATTCGCCTTTGAGAGTGTTGTTTTGGAGAAAATTATTATTGTTCGGAAGGAAACAAAATATTAAAAACCAGTGTCTCGGGTGGGCTTGAAAGGAACAAATATTTTTTGTCATTAATAAAAAAAACGTGTTTCTTTTATTAATCTTTAAAAGGGGAAAAAATGGTTTACCTACGCATCATGCTGTATGGTCGCATGAGCGTTTCAAGTGGGTGGGGAAAACCCGGAAATACCTCCGCCCCCAGAAAAAAATTGGTTTCGCCCCACACCTCCAAAAAAAACAAAAAAAACAAAAACAACAAAAAAAAAACAACCTACGTTTTACGCAGGCGTCTTAAGACAAAACAACTTCTAACAAACATGTTTCAGCTTTTTGTGATGTATAAACTTGTGTTGTGTCATTTTCTTTTTTTTTTTTTTTTTTTTTTCTTGTTGGTCTTAATGATTAACATAGGATTTAATTTGACTTAAATAATTAGTAATGATTACACTTTTCATTATTCATATTCATTTTATTATTAAGTGGTTTTATATTGCCTAGTACCACAGCCTAGGGCTAGGCTTACCAGTACCACAGCCTAGGGCTAGGCTCATCAGTACCAC